TTAATTATTTCGATGTTAGGAGGATTTGCAGTCACTTATTTTTTACTTATGCTAGAAGACAAAAGATGAAACACATTAAATTTGAAGAACAAAATTTATATACCACTCTAAAATAGGAATATTTGTGCAAATAAGCCAATTTAAATTAATCGAAGTCTAAATATAAATATGGAACATAAAATTAGTAATCATAGATTTTTTAAAAAAATTCATCCGATACCCGATATCTATATTGAAGCCCGATTAAATTCGGATCGAGTAATCATAGACTTACTAACACCTATAGGTTCAAGACCAAACTCATACACCTCACTATCCACCCAGCAATATTTGACTTTTGCAATTGGCCAACTTATTTGATACTATTATATTATATATTATTTTAGTGCCATAAAAAAGGAAAAATACAGAATAATTAGATAAGATTTGGCATATTCCGTTTTCCCGCCGACTTTTCATGACTAGCCTGATTACATACACCCACAACAATTTTAAATAAACCAATAAATAAAATAATAATAATAAATAAATAAAAAAAAACAATGTAATGTAATGGTTGATTAGAAATTTTTAAGACTAACAAAAATCTCAAAAAACTCAAAATTATAATGAAAATATATATATGTAATGGCCGATTGATTAGAAATTTTTATAATTACATTAGACCGTTTGTGGATATTATTTCTTAATATTGTTTTTGTTAGCATTAATTAGTCCTGATTTGGCTAAAATAAAAATAAATACATCATCAGTAATTGACTAAGTTATAGTTTGGTAATCGTATAGTTTTTGAAACAAATTTAAATGAATTTTATATATAATTTATTCTAACGCATGAAGCAATAAATAATTTAATATAAGTCACTTAATTTTTAAATATTAGAAAAAAAGTGGATGAAAATAATAATATCACTAGTTCTTTTTTCGAGGAACTTACATAAGTTTCAGTAGTTTAAGATTTAATTACTTAGATATTTTATTCAAAAAAAATTACTTAGATATACTTTAGTTTGTAATATTATGTATCTTATTAGATTCTGATGCATTCAGATACGTCAAAATACATGTGGTTACAATTAAGTGTAATTGATTCTAGATACATTGTATCCAAACAGATTCACATGTATTTGTGATACATAACAAATACATGTGAATCACACCAGATACATGTTATACATGTATCTAATGTGATTCACATGTATCTGAGATACATAACGAATCTCATTCACCTCCCTCCCTATCTCGCTCCCTACTTTCCCTATTTTAGTGCATCATGTAGCAAGCACCTAGTACATGAACAATCCACGGAAAAGCAATTGTCGGTTCAACTAAGCAATTAAGCAATACTAAGTGATTCAATTAAGAGAAAGTGTGACTATTTTATGTGAAGTAGGGTAGGTAAAAACTAAATTGAATTTTGATGGACTCGAACTTAGGATTCTTATAGTTGGGCTTGAGAAAATGGTAAAGTTAAAGACTTAAGTTAATTAAAATTTAACAAAATATTTATATTTTATTTATGACTAATAAATAAATAATTAGAAAATTTATATATCTAATTTATCGGTTCAGTTTGATTATTTTGACGGTTGTTTTTTAGTAAAACCAAAACCAAACCAAATAGTATCGATTTTCAAAATTTAAAACCAAATCTAACCAAACCAAACCAAACCAAAAATCCATTTTTTTAATCGATTTAGTTCGGATTAAGATTCAATTTGATTTTTTAACCATAAGTCCATAACCATGAACACCCCTTTGTCTAGTCAAGTAGGCGGAGGAGATACACCCAAACCTCTTTAGCGAAAAATAACTTTATATATATACATAAGTTTTATATACATATAATTTTCTTAATTAAATATGTATATTCTTTTGATATTTTAAGCCACTATTTTTTTTATATTATACTAATAGACATAAACATTTGACCAGAATTCTATTTTAGTATTACTAAATTGTATGGACATGTACCACTTGATAATTATCATTATTCAAGATTCGCCCTACTATGGTGATGAAAAATTTGGTCAAATGGTGGTAGCTTGTTGTAGGACCACTATTTTAAAAATAAATAAATTATTCTGCTAACTATCTCTAATTCTATGATTTACGCCATATAATATTTATTTAAAAGAAACTATTTTCTATCAGAAACTTTATCCTTGTAATTCTCAAAAAATAAATTAATGTCAGCCATAACTTATAAGTAGACTCATTGGTTCGGGATTATAGCCTTGAAAAATTCTTTTACAAATTAAATTAGGTATGATACCTAATTTTTTGGATGTGACATTGTTTATCATGCACATTGGAGCTATTTTTAGTTTTAATTATGTTTAGAGGTAAAATTAAAATTTAAAAATTTAGTCCTATTAAATTATTGAGTTATAAATTAATAATTTATAATTATTAAATATTTTTGAAAAGGATAAATATAATATTTAAATCAAAATTACTAAATTCAACCAAACATGTAAACTCACGATTATTTTCCTAAATTTAAACAGTTTTTACTCATGAACTACATATTCGAATAATACATGATAAGAGTTCTGATTTTCTGATTAAATAATATGAATTTATAAGTTTCACTTCATTTAGTTTATAATTTTAGATTCATTTATCTTACAAAATTTATAAACCTATTAATAAGTGTTATTTGATAAAAACTCATATGTTAAAAGAACTTTTTATCCCATAAATAGTTCTCTCATTTTTTTTTTCCATTTTTCACTTAAAAAGAAACACTTTAAATTATTTTCTCTTAACAAAATTTGAGAAATATTGATCAAAAGACGTGATTCAAGAATAAAAGAATGACGTTTTGAACTTTTTTTTTAGAAAGCTCGATTAGCGAGAAAAAGCGGGTTATATCAAAAGAATATATTTCAATTTTTTTGTTGATCAGGCGACACCCGGATTTGAACTGGGGAAAAAAGGATTTGTTGCTATTTGTTGTGTGGTTTGGTTAAGTTTCGATGATAAATCATTATATAATTTTTTTTATTTGCTCATGAAAGAAATTTCAATTATTTTCATTTTTTTTAGATATTCTTTAATAGCTCAATTGTTTTTTAATTTAAATTTATTAAATTATTAATATTTATACTCTTAATAATTTGATGATATTTCATCGAGCGAAGAAAATTCTATTGGAAGCATCACCATTAAATAAGCTCCGTAGGATGCAATCCGAATTGAAAAGATGTTAAGTATTATCCTTATTGTAACACTACCTGCACCACGTAATTCAGTACCAGTTGGGTGCTGTATAAAAATTGAAAAAAAAGAACCTTCTTATTATTTTGTGGCCAGAAAAAATCTTAATTAATTTTTCAAAAACTAATTTTTATTTTATAAAAAAATATCTTCAATTCTTGTTGGAATATTGAGAAAATCCTAACGACCACGTGAGTCATGCGTGGCACCAAATCACTACCAAAGAAAGAATCAATCTTTAGTTTCTTCTCCTCCCTTTTTTTTTTCTTTTTTTTTTTTCACAGAAGAACAAAACATGGAAATTAAATCAAAAATTGTTGAAAGGAATAAATAATAATTATGTAGAAGATTTTTTTGGCCTTTTTTTTTTCCACAAATAAAGCCAAGATTTCACATCATTATCATAATAGTTAATGATACCTTCATCATTATTATAGGGTGGCTCTTTTTGTGAAAGAGGAAAAGTCAGAAGAATAATAAATATACTATTTTTTTTATAGGGTTTGGTATTAAATTTCCCTTTCCTTTCTTCTTGTGGCTTTTTCTTGGTTATGCCGTTTCAATTTCAGGTAATATATTTTCCCCTTTTTCTTGTTTTTCTTTATTTTTATGTGATTTTGGTATTTGGGTGTGGATTTTCTTGATATGTTGAGGTGGGGTATTGAGTTTTTGATTAGATCTGATAAAAGATTTGCTTTTAATACTGTTTATGATTAGATATGAATGTTTAGGCTGTAAAGTTTGATTCTTTATTGATTTGAGTTTGAATCTGAGGCTAAAGTTTGATTCTTTATTGATTTGGTTTTGAGTCTGAGGCTAAAGATTGATTCTTTATTGTTTGGGGGTTTGAATCTTGGCATACTGTTGTTTTGGGTATGAGTTGGAAACCAATTTTTTCGATTTATTTGAGTGTTTGTTGTGTGTGTATATGCTGTTTGGGAATCTTTTTGTTAATTGGAACTAGTGCTAAGACTATTGGTAATAAGGGTTTACTTTTTATGGTAATTTTGTTAAGGAAGGTGGGAGATTGGTTTAGGCTATATAATTGGATTTTTGTGTGGCTATTCTGTGATGAATTTATGGGAATCATGGTGGTGACTGAGGATTTAGGATGAGGTTAAGTTTTGGTTTGAGCACAACTGTATGTTAGTATTCTGTTGAGGCTTGGAAAAAGTTAGTATTCTGTTTTGAAGAAAATTGATTGTTCTGAAGTTCTTTGAATTTCAGAGTTTTTTAAATGAGGAGTCTTGTAATTGTAACTAATAGTGTACGTTTTTACTTATATAATCTTGTACCACTATGTAATGAAAGAATTGTATGACAGTATGAGCTTTGAGCAATGAATTTGACATTGGTTTGCTGTTAATTCTTAATCCAACTATTTAGTGCTTGTTCCTACTCTTTGATTGCTAGATGGAATATGAGATAGTCACAATATGATTTGGAAGGCGGGTATACAGACAGATTTGTAGTAAGGGTTATTGTTACCTGCTAATGTCCTAATGATAAACTTGAAGTCTTGGACAACCATGAACAAGCTGGTTTTTGTTGTGCTTATCTAGGCAAGGATGTTGATTGGGATCCTTGATTAGTGTGTTTGCATGTTAGCATAATTGCATTACTGAACTTGTCAAAATGTTGCTCTGTCGTCGTCTTTCTCAAGCTTGATTTTTCGTTTCTATGGGTGTTCTCCTTTTATTTAGTATTGTGCCTTGGACATACTGACCTTTTTCTCTTGGTTATGATTTTTTCAGGGTCAATTAGACTTCAATCCCAACAGAATAATATTGTTTAGGACATGGAGCAAGTCTGCCTTTTCTCAGATAACTTTGGGTATCAAGCTTTCTCATTTCAGGAAGTCCTCGATTGGCGGTTCCTCATCTGTGGAGATTTCCTTGTTGTTTCCTTTGTCAATTGCACATAGTTAACATCTGCTCTTGAGTGATCAGTACAGGAGGTCCCATATGCCATTTCCACATAAGCTAAGTGTTGGATGTTTAATGCAGTTCCACTAGTAAGCAGCACACCTTATGATGTCAATTGTGACTGTACTGTTAACTACCTCGTGCAAGTTTTTTATTTCTAGCGCATCGCCGATAAGACACCCATTCAGGACCCTTTGGAAACCATCCTCTGAGGTACTGCTGTGGGTTGTACTTTACCTTGTTATAGTGCTTATATATTCTAGTAGTCTTACATTATCTCCTCTGTCTCTATTCACTACAGGGCTAAATTCAGCAGACATATGTATGATGTTTCTATGCATTGTTGAGAATTAGTTAGCTCTTTACACACTTGCTTCGGGTTTGGTAGTTTCTAGAGACCTCTTCTTCACAATTCGGTTGACTGAAGACTTGGTATCAGACAGAAGTGTTATTGGAGGCAAGGAGCTAATGTGTTTTTGAGAAAGAAAGGTTCTGTGACTTGGACGTATAATTTGATATGTTGAATTGAGCTATTTGAATCTCAGTTAGCTTTGAAGTGGTATCATGATGCACTGCAGCACTTGCCTTTGCTTGCTTTCTCTCACCTGTTACAGTTTTGGTCTTTCTTCTGCCATATATCTTACAAATAAGGCTGTGAAGCCCATCCGTCCTATCATTGCTGATTCTGCCGTCATCAGTTTTGCAGAAGGAAATTAAGGGTGATTTTGCTGAATCAGCCAGGCCATAGTTCCTTTTAGTATTTTTTTTTCTTTTACAGTCATCCCGAGACAGAAATCCACTTTGTTTATGTGTGTGTCGTCCCTATACTCCATTTAATAAGAGTCCTACGTGCTATTGAAGCTGCTGAAATGGAAAGGTTGTGGTCTCATTTCGCTTATCATTTTTTGTTTTTATTGTCCCGGCTCCTGTATGCTTATCTAATCCTTCTTAATGGTGCAGGTACCAGATTATTAAAGAAGTTGGTAATGGTACGTTTGGCAATGTTTGGCGTGCACTTAATAAGCAGACTGGTGAAGTGGTAGGTGCATATGTGTTAGGAACAACTTAGAACCTACTGATGTTGCTGAATTTTCGAAGTCCTCTAATACTATTCATTTGTCTAACACAGGTTGCAATTAAAAAGATGAAGAAGAATTATTATTCATGGGAAGAATGCATAAACTTGAGAGAGGTCAAGGTTAGATGATTTCCTTCCTTTGGCCATATTTGTTTTTTTCTCTGCTGAGAATTCAATAACCGTGAATTCTTTTGCAGTCTCTGAGAAAAATGAACCATTCGAATATTGTGAAGCTCAAGGAAGTGGTTAGGGAGAACGACATTTTGTATTTCGTGTTTGAATACATGGTATGTCATGGTTTACCTCTGTATATATATTTGCGACCAGTCAGTTGACTGAATGTCTAAGTTTGAACGAGGTTTTGCAGGAGTGCAATTTATACCAGCTTATGAAGGACAGAGCAAAGCTTTTCTCAGAATCCGAAGTGAGAAATTGGTGCTTCCAAGTATTTCAAGGTCTTGCTTACATGCATCGACAAGGATATTTTCATCGTGACCTTAAGCCAGGTGTTTTGACCTTTCCTTGTTTTTTGTCTGTAAATGCTGTGGATGATGATGAAGAGTTGGACTTAACATAACTCTCTTATTGTACTATATGTACTATACTCTTTTGTTTTCCTGTGAGAACCCTTAGTCTTGAAGACTAATATATCTATGGTAATCAGCATTCCTGCTCCCTTCCCTCCAACAGCTTAAGCTCAAATTCTTTATTTATTCTGGCTCTTGCTTGCAGATGTCATTTTAGTTTTCTTTGTTTACTGCTTTTTGAGTTGGGTTCACTGAGCTAAATATGCATTCAGGATTTATGAGATATACTACAGTCTACAAGGCTCCAAGGAAATCTAGAAGAGCTTATACATTTTATTTGTGTTTGTTGTGTAATATGCATGCAGTCGTGACAATCTGCATGTTATAGTTCATTCCTTCGTGATCTGACCCATTTTAACATGTGATACTGATGGTTGTGCAGAGAACTTGTTGGTTTCGAAAGATATAATTAAAGTTGCTGATTTTGGTCTTGCTCGGGAGATCAATTCTCAGCCTCCGTATACGGAATATGTATCAACACGTTGGTTAGTATGCTTGCTCTTCTATATGTTCATTCGTCTAAATGGTTAGTTTATTTTTTCCTTATATCAATTATGTGGCACTGCAGGTATCGTGCTCCTGAAATTCTTCTCCAGTCACCCATCTATGGTCCTGCTGTCGGTATGTAAATGATGCACACTATCTGTTTCAGCTATTTCTTTCTGGATGTATATTGATTATCTTTCAATACTCTGCAGATATGTGGGCCATGGGTGCTATAATGGCTGAGTTGTTTAGTCTTCGTCCTCTGTTTCCGGGTTCAAGGTATGCATCTGTGGTTATAATATTGATTTCTCTCCGACCTGCATAGAAATGTATATAGAAGAGGAGAGGGAAGGATGGTCATGTCATTTGCAATCCATTTACGTTCTGATGACAGTCGGCTGTATGCTTCTTTTCTTTGGGTGCAGTGAAGCAGATGAGATCTACAAAATATGCAGTGTTATAGGGACCCCAACCAAGAGGGACTGGTCTCAGGGACCTGAACTTGCTAGTGCTATTAACTACCAATTTCCGCAGGTAACATAACTCTTCCTTGATATGAAGCACATGGAAAAAGAATTGCTATTCTTAAAGGATTTTCAGATTAGCTCCCCCCGTCCTCTTCTTTTTTTGCTTTTGATTTCAGTTCTTAGCCTTTCAGCTATTGAAAAGGAGGTCCTTTTAGTTCCCCTAACGGAAAAAAATGATATTAACTAGCAAAGTGATTTCTTTTGAATGTGGGTTGACACCTTCCCTGGTTTTATTTGGCAGGTTGCTGGTGTAGATCTTGCTTTGCTAGTTCCATCTGCCAGTGAAAATGCGATTAGTCTAATCACGGTAAGAGGTGGCTAAAAACATTCGTATCACTTTCTTAATTGTTCGCAACATTGACATATATGCAACCTTTCTGAATACACTTCTAAAAGGGAATGGAATATCTGATAGCTTGTCATTTCATCTTTTTCTGTTACTTGCTGCAGTCTCTTTGTTCATGGGATCCTCGTAAGAGGCCGACGGCAATCGATGCTCTTCAGCATCCTTTTTTCCAGGTGGACAACTCCTTCCATTTTTTAACTTAATGTACATAAGTCAGTGTCTGTCTTTCTATTAAATTAGATGATATCATTTGTGATGTGGCAGAGTTGCTTTTATGTACCTCCATCACTACGCACCAAGGCTGCTGTTGCTAAGACCCCTCCTTCTGGTTTGTACTGTCTTCTACATTACTAGTAAGGAAACCTGGGTTTTATGTTGTTATGGTGAACTTTAAAGGACTTTTTTATCATAGCTGTTGTGCGGGGTGCAGTGGAGCAGAAGTACAAGTGGTCATCTGGGTTGTCGCACAATCCCAAACCTAGCAACAACTTCTCAACTGTCAAGTCACAGCTGCCGTTTAACGCAGGTGACTAATAATTTATAGGATTTTACTGTGATCCAGCTAAATCAGAGGCCTAGTGTTCTCTGGACTAACCATCCGATGTTTTTCTTTCCGGAATTTTACTGTGAAAGAACCATCCATCCTTTTAGCTACACACAAAAACTTACCTTCTTTATTCTGATTCTTATTCAATTGTTTCCCACTGAAACTGTGTAACAGGTGTACAAAGGAAGCTGGATATGAATTATCAGGTATGTTTTCCTTGGAAACAACCTTTTCTTATTTTTCCCATCTGATAGACGAGACAAATGTTGTGGCTAGACGTAGGGGTATTCTACCTGAATCTAATTTCTGCAGACAATTGTTCAGGATCCAACGAGGAATGATAAATTCCTGCAAGGCTCTGTTAACCAACAACCAAAATATCGACCTCCTGGAAGGAACATTCCAAGCGATCCAAGTGAGTCTTTCAAACTCCCTTCTATTGGAATACTTGTATTGTTGTGCCCCTAAAGCTAATTTTTCTTTTGAGCTTGGCAGTGGTTGGTTCCAGAGTGCAGAATTTTGCCGTTTCTGATGCAGCTGACAAGCTGGGAAGCATGAATATTGGCTCTGGCAGAGGACCTACAATGCAGCCAATAGTTAAGCCAATGAAGGCAGGAGGATGGCATGGGCAGCACGACTTGTTCCATGGACGGTCTAAAGAGTTTCTTCCGGGAAGAAGCTTTTCGAGGAAAGTTGCTGGATGAAGAAATGTCATAGCTGAGAGTGTCCTACTTTGTTCTAGTGTTCTATTCGCGATAATAGTCTTTATGTGCATGGCTAAATTTGATGTTACTTTGGTGTCTTTGTGCTTTCAATATTTTTGTTTAGTTTTTGGTGATACTGTTACATGTACGATGTCCAACATGTTTTGAATAATGTATTGCCTTGTTTTGCTTGAATAAATGGTTTTCCTCTACTCTCACTGATAGCATCTTTTGTACATAAATTAAGTTGCCTTGATTAAACTAGAGAGTAGCAGATTTCTAGTTTTGATCACACCAGTAATAGAAACCATCTGTTTACTGTTGTGAGTAAACAAACTAAGTTTTCACATTGTTGATGTTTGACATTAGGTAGAAAACGATATAATACAACGCGATACATTATGAAATAATAAGTAATAACCATCAAAACAAGATAATACATTATGGAAAAATAAGTAATAACCATCAAAACAAGATATAAAGATCAATTCAGAACAACGAATGATTATACAAGTGAAGCAACACTAAAAAGCTCTGTTTCCATACTTACAAAATTGATCATTGAGCTAAAGCTCGAGATAACTAACTAAAAAAAATATGAAAAAACTAAACATGTTAAAGATCTACTTGATCCCTCATTTGAACTCGAAAACAAAATCTTGAATTGCTTTTCTCCCAACGAATGGAAATGACATCTTTTTCTTTGAGATTCCTCCTTTTGACAAAATCCTTTGTCCATGCTTTGACAAGGTGAAAGCTATTAGTTGACCATTTCTTGAGAGTCAAAATATGGCTTGTTTGTGTATCCATATCAAATACAGTAACATCAACTCCGCACAATTGTTGACAAATTATGCTCTGTTCTTCCTTGTTCATGAAGGGTAATATGTAATTATTCACGTCTTGTCGAGATAGTAATAGCCTCGAAGCTCCATTCACGTCGCTTCTAGTTAGCTTCTTTGTTATCCAGTGACCTTCCTCTCCGTTTGATTCTTTTGTCAGCTTGGGTTTCTTGAGCGGGATGAATTTCTCTTCCCCCAATTCCTGTAACAAGGATCTTTTAGGAGCAGAGTTACCCAATGCATTTACCTCCCGACTTGATGAACCAAAAACAGAAGAATGTTGACTATCAATGAAAGATTGGGCTGTCGAAGAGGTGTTGGATAGGGATGGGGGAGGAGTATTGTTTGCAATTGGTTTTGAGTTTTTCATAAACTCGTGTAAAGAGAGTCAAAAAAGGTGAATTAGGATTGTCCTTGCCGCCGTCTATGGAAGAGAAATCAACGGTAGTAGTAATTGGTTTGGAAGCAGCAAGATTTTCAGAAACTTGGGGAAAGAGAGACAAAGTAGTATTAGAAGACGAGTAGTGATGAGGAAGACAATAGCTAATTGGTTGGGCATCAATAACACTGTCTTCCGAAAATGGCAGAGACATTAGAAAATCGTCGGAAAATTGATCACCAATTTCCATAGCGTAACTAAGAGAAATTGATCATCCTTTTATAGATTTGTATAATTTTCCCATTTTGGATCAAAGTCAGAGAATAGTAGTAATATTTTGGAATGAAGAAAAAGTCATCCTTTTATAGATTTGTATAGTTTTCCCATTTTGGATCAAACTCGGATTCTGTGTTAAAAAGGAAAGGATTCACAATTTTAGTTGGTATATTATTTGAGTTAAAAGAGTTTAAATTAATTATTACCAATTAATTAATTTATTATCCATTTCATATTTTAACATATACTATTTGTTCAAAAATCCCCTCCACTAATTAGCTAAGTAGCGTAAAAAAATCGTTGCTATTAACAAAAATATCTTTGCTATTAACAATTGCTCCAAAAGAGAAAAAATGAGCCCTATTTTTTAAATAACTATTCTGAGGGGGCAGTTACGTCCTCCATTTAAAGCTCAAGACAAATGCTTCCAACTGTAAAAACTTGAGCAAACTTTAATATCGAAGATTATGAGATTATTTTGACTATTTAAAATGATTGGCAATTTTACTTCTATTTTTGGTATATTTATTTGAGTTAAAGGAGTTTAAAGCTTGTTCACGTGTAAATGTTACCAATCAATTAATTTATTATCCATTTCGTAGTCGGATTCTGTGTTAAAAAGGAAAGGATTGACAATTTTAGTTCAATTTTTGGTATATTTATTTGTGTTAAAAGAGTTTAAAGCTTGTTCACGTGTAAATGTTACCAATTAATTAATTTATTATCCATTTCATATTAAAATCAAGAAAATTTTATTATATTTTTTCTTTTTACCTTTAGTATTAAATAATAGGGAAAAAGGACAAATATACCTCTTAACTATCGTAAATGCTCTAGTATTTTGACGGCAGGGGCACCAATGTCCCAAAAGTATGACGGAGGGTATCTACATACCATTTACGATAGTTCAATAATAATTATTAAAGTTTTTACATAATTTCAATAATAAGTATTATTAAAGTTTAATTGCCAATATTATACCTTGTGTAATTTCACAAATAGGTATTATAGTGGATAGTGTGTATATCGATCTTATCATATTTTAATAGTTTTATTTTCGATAGACCCTTAATTCAAGAAAAAACACAATAAAATAGTTTTAAAAAAATAAATGACAAAGACGTAGAAGCCATGACAAAATACAATAAAATTTAATTATCAACATTAAGTTTTCAACTAAAAAATTTGTTCAATTGTTTCCTTTAAAACTGCTTTGGTTCTTGACTAAAACGAACAACTAATATAATAACTAATACTTTATGTGTCTTAATTTATAGGAATGTGTTTGACCGAACACAATAGAAATACCATATCTAGAGAAATTAGGATTGTACATCGGTTGATTCAATTTGATTAGAAATTCATTGATTTGATTCAACAATTATTGATCGGTAGACATGTAAAATTATTATAGAGTCATTAAGATATTGACTTATTGATTATTAATTTATTGGTTATTGATCGTTATCGCTTTGATTATTGGTTTAATCGTTAAGATTTGACACATAAAAATCGTTGAAGATCACTTAGAAACAAGGTGACAAACCAAATGACCGACGCACATGAGTTGATAGATTGCATCTTACTCAAAATTAAAGCAAACAGTGACACACTGTAGAATAAATTAAATCCTATGTCAAGGACTTTATATATTGAATAGTATAGATATAATTTATTAATTTACTATTGGGTTATCGGTTAACCCATTAAGGAAAAACCTCAAACCGTTAAGAATTGATAAACCCAGTAATAAAAAAAAATCAAAACCATTATCAAAACTACTAATAAACCAATAGCTTATTTTCGATTTGAGTTATCGATTTCGATTCAATTTTGAACACCCCTAAGCCTAATCACCCATAGTGGGGGCTTGAAAAGGTAGAGTGTAGGACGTCTTTACCACTACCTTTCTAAGGTAGCGAGTCTGTTTTCAAAAGACACTCGACAAATATATTTGACTGGACATATAAATTAAAAAAGAAAGAAATTTTTTGAAGCTTGACATTAAAATATACTCTATTATTTAAATGTATATTCGCATTCCATTATACACCAAACACAACTATATAGTAAAATTATATTCTTATATACGTGTAAAAAAAAGTGATCAACCAATATGGAACGGAGGGAGTACTCTCTTAGTTTCATATTGTCCTCCAATTAATTAGTTATTAATTATCCATTATTTCATATTATTGGATACCTATCGACTTGAAACACTCTTTAAAAAAAATTTAATTGCAGAGATATTTTATCAAATTAATCTTATTAATAATGGTTGATGCTCTAAATTTTACAACTAGTACTTTCTGTTTCTTTTTTATCAAAAGGATAGATATATTAGAAATTACGCAATGTCAAGCATATTGTTTGATGCTGCATAACTAGAAATTTGGGCCGTGGTATGGCCAATTACATAGTGGCTACTAGGATTGAGTTTCCTTATATACATAATTCCCACAATGTCTGCCCGTGTTAGTTTTTTTGCATACTAACAAAAAGGTTGGCTTTCCAAAGGTGTTGTGCTTCAGTCCTTCCTTGCTAAGCATGTCCGCCACCTTGTTCTGCTCACTGAAGATGTGCGTTGGCATTGCTGCTGTTGCTCCCAAATATACAAGCAAGTGTACGTGGTCGCTCAAGCAATATAGTTTCTTTTAGAAACGAGTTTTCATTTCCAATTAGGGACTTATGATCGGCTTATATTTAATACTTAATTCCACAATTAAACAAAAGTAACCTTTTAAAGAGTTTGATGGTTATTAACTATTACTACAAATTATGCAATAACTAAAAGTAACTAAAAATGAACGACTTTAATTTGATGTTTCAAGCAAGTAAAAGACAATTTCAGGACTGCAGCACTAGAACCAGGGCGTTTAGCAATAGTGGTGTATATAATGGGACATATAGTATGTATACATTGCCATCTTTTGTTCATAAGTTTAGTTTCCCTGATTAAACCATAGACTTGATAATCAAGTGCTTCTCAATAGTCAGTTAGCACAACAAAGAGATTAACATCCCACAGATTTCTAGTTTTGATCACAATCAAGAGTGGCAAACGAGCGAGTCAAGTCGAATATGAGTCGATCAAAAATGAATAAATTACTCGACTTGACTCATATTTTAAAGGGTAAAAATGAGTTACCCAATAGATAATATGGGTACCCATATTTATCCATATTATAATAGAAACCTTGTTAAAAGCTTTAAAAACAAATTTTTTTTTATAGTTTTTTTATCACTTCACTCCACCCCTACCAGCCCCCCTAACCCCCTATCCCAAAAAAATGTACCCATCCAAAAAAAAATTAACAAAATTTTAAATTTTTTCCGTTAAAATATTTTTTTAATTTCTTTTTTATAAAATTTACCAACCCACCCCTCTACCAGCCCCCACCTCCCTATCCCAAAAAAAAAGTTAACAAAATTAATTTTTTTTTTAAGCCCCCTAAATTACCAATGAAGGTTTGATGATTTGGGAAATTGGCAAGTAGATGATCTGACGACGAACCTTTTTGATAAGTATGTGTTGCAATGAATGAGAGTTCAGACATAAGTGAGCAAAACGATTTAGAAACACACTTAAATCGCAATAAAGACTTAACTGATGAGACTCTCGTAAGAATTTCAAATATAATTTCGTTGGAAATATGTAAATTTACCGTCTTTTTTTGGGTCATATGATGGAAAAATCGTCGTTGATTATCTCCATGAGTTGTGGAAGATATTAGCACTTTTATTAATTTGTTTGAGAAGAATATATAAAGGGTAATAGGTGCTCATAGATAGTAATTAGTATATATAATTATAAATTAAGATCCCAATTAGTTTGTGTTTAGGTTTTCGTTATGTTTTACTCTTTTGAGTGGAAAAGGTAACACGTATGGAAGTAAAAGAAGAAGAAAAATCTAAAGCTTTAAACACATTTAGGTTAATAAATTTATTGTTTCTTCTTTTTATTTCTATTTCTTGATTAAAATTTAAAAATTATTTTATGAACGCAGGTCAAATTTACTACTAACATAATGTATAATATCAATAGATCTTTAGCAATTTCTTACTTATGTACAATTCTCTTTATTTAATAAAAGTAAAATCAAAAAAGAAATATTATTAATATCTTTTTTATTATGTGAAACAAAACAAAAATATGAAAAAATCACTTACTAATTAGTATTATTGAAAATATTTAAACATTGGAACATTCCATAATATATTTCGTATTAATTGGAACGAAAGGTATAATATTTGATTATCATTTCATTCCTATTCTTATAGGGTTGCTAAAATATCAGGAGTTGGACCAATTCCTACTTGTAACCAAGAAGAGCATTTATCCAAATTCACATCTTAAAGGTTACTCAAGTTTGCTTCTTTGGCTTTTCGATTTTCATCCCTACTCAAAGAATCTTTGTAGTTGTGATTTTGATTTTGATTAGTATCGTCTTTCCATAGCTGGAGTTGGCCTTTTGGGCCTTCGTGTTCAAATGGATTATTGTGTAGTTTCAAGCCCACTGATTCTAGTTTCAGCTCTAGTTTTTTGACGGCAGGGCACCAATATCCCAAAAGTATGGCGGAAGGTATCTACATATCCTTTACGATAGTTCGGGGTATATTTGTCCTTTTTCCCTATTATTTAATACTAAAGGTAAAAAGAAAAAATATAATAAAATTTTTTTGATTCATAAATTGAACGAGTAAATTTAAACAAA